TGTACATGAACACTGCCACTCTTACTAAGTCAGGCATAATATCTGTTTCCTTCTGCAAAGAGCCTTCTGACATACATATCCTTGGCTCAAAGGAGTGAGAACTAGATCCCAGTTCCGACTGCCCGGCTCAGACCTCGATCTCTTGCTTAGATTATAGTCCTTCATTCCCCACCCATGTTCATTCTGTATATTCGTGTTGAATATTTTCATTAAAATCCAGTTTTGTTAACTCTCTGGTTGATACATACATCAAGCAAGGCATGGTGGTACATGCCTGTAATCCGAGCACTCAGGAGATAGAAGCAGGAAGATGGTTGTTCCAGACCAGCCTGGGTTACACAGCGTAATTCTGTCTCCAAACAAAACAAAACAGCCCGACAAGGCAGACCTGGTAGCTCCAGGCACTGGAGCAGAAGAACTGTCATTGAGTTTGAGGTCAGCATAGACCACAGAAAGAGAACTTGTCTAAACACACAGAACAGTTTGTACGTGGTGGCTCATGTTCATAATTGTAGCACTCAGGAGACTGAGGCAGGAGGTTCACCTACAAGTTCACAAGTTCAAGACCAACCTGGGCTACAGAATGAGACCTTGTCTCAAAAAAAAACACAAACCAGGGGCTGGAGAGTTGGCACAGCAGTTGAGAACACTTGCTGTTCTTGCAGAAGACCAGGGTTTGGTTCTAAGCACCCACATGGCAGCACACAAGCATCTGTAACTCCAGTTCCAAGGACTCCAATGCCATGTTCTGACCTCTGAAGACACCAGGCAGGCATGTAGTATACCCACAACAATACACATCAAGTAAAATAAATAAATCTTTTTTTTCAACTTTAAAAAAAAATTTGGCTGGGCATGGTGGTGCACGCCTTTAATCCCAGCACTCAGGAGGCAGAGGCAGGCAGATCTCTGTGAGTTCGAGGCCAGCCTGGTCTCCATAGTGAATCCAGGACAGCTGGGGCTACAGGGAGACCCTGTTTCAAAAAGACAAAAAAAAAATTATTATTTTTATTTTATATGTATGCGTGTATTGCCTGCATGTAAGTACACCCATGTTGTGCAATGCCCGCGGAGGTAAGAAGAGGCTGTCAGATCCCCTGGGACTGGAGTTACAGGCAGTTGTTAGCTGCCATGTGGGTGCTAGGATTCAAACTCAGGTCTTCTGCAAGAACAACCAGTGTTCTTAACCGCTGAGCCATCTCTCCAGCCCCAAAATAAATAAATCTTAAATAACTAAAGACCAAAATGAAACTATACACACACACACGTATATATGTATGTATAATACTATCAATTTGATGTGTGATGGTTAATACTGCCAATTCAACAGCATCTAGAATGCAATCCTCTGGGCATGCCTGTGAGGGAGTATCTAGACTAGGTTAAATGAGGTGGGAAGACCCACTGTAATTTTAAGTGGTGGCACTCCATGGGGATGGGGTCCTGGACTGCATAAAATGGAAACAGCAAGCTGAGTACTGGCACTCATCACTCTCTGCCTCCTAGCTGTGGATGCAATGTGACAAGCCATCTCAAGCTCCTGCTGCCTTGACTTCCCCACCATAGACTGTACCCTCAAACTGTAAGCCCAAATAAACTCTCCCATAATTGCTCTTTTTTTGTCCTTTTGAGACAGGTGCTCCCTGAAGCTACAGCTGACCTGGAACTCACTATGAAGACCAGTCTGGCCTTGAACTCACAGAGCTCCATCTGTCTCTGCCTCCCTAGTGCTGGGATTAAAGGTATGCACCACCATGCCTGGCTTCTCCCATAAATTGCCTTAAAAATTATTTTTTTATGTGTATGAATGTTATGCCTGCATGTAAGAACACCTGTGTCATGCAGTGCCTAAGGAGGACAGAAGAGGGCATCAAATCTCCTGAAACTGGAGTCACAGGTGGTTGTTAGCTGCCATTTGGGTGGTAGGATTTGAACCCAGGTCCTCTGCAAGAGCAATCAGTGCTCTTAACCATGAGCCATCTCTCCAGCAACCCCATATATTGTTTTTGTCAGGGTATTTTACCACAGTAATAGAAAAAGTATACATATATATGTACATATTTCATATACTACTGGCTCCCGATTTCCTTCCACTAGAATTTTTTTAAATTTATTGTTTTCATTTTATGTGCATGAGTGTACTGCCTGCATGTGAGTGCACCCGTGTCATGCAATGCCACGGAAGTCAGAAGAGGGCTTCAGAGTTCCCTGGAACTGGAATTAAGGACGGTTTGTAGCCACCATGTGGGTGCTGGGAATCGAACCCAGGTCCTCTGGAAGAGCAGTCAGTGCTCTTAACCGCTGAGCCATCTCTCCAGCCCCCACTAGAATTTTTTAATGCAGAGTTCCAAACTCAAAATTCCACACCAGCTAGATTGTGCATAAAGTGATCCAAATTATTTTTATTAATAAAATGTTAACTACCCAGGCTTGGCAGTGCAGAACTATAATCCCAGCTACTAGAAAGCCTGAGATAAGAGGCCTGACTGGGCTAAAGAATGAATTCAAGACCTGGACGTGGTGGTGCACACCTTTAGTCCCAGTGCTGGGAGGCAGAGGCAGGTGGATCTCTGTGAGTTCAAGGCCAGCCTGGTCTATATAGTGAGTTCTAGGCCAGTTGGGGCTACAGGGAGACCCTGTCTCAAAAGACAGAGGAGGAAAAAAAAAAAAAAAAGAATGAATTCAAGATCACCCAGGGCAACTTAGGGAGATTTTTTTTTGTCTCAAAAAACAGTAAAGGAAAAAAAGGCGGTGGGGCGTGGGGGAGATGCTGAGGAGGTAGCTCAACTACCTCAACTAGTAAGAGTGCTCAGCTGGCATACATTAAATCCGTTGTGTTAGCACACACCTATAATCCTAACACTTGGGAGGTGGAGGCAAGAAGATCAGAAGTTCAAGGTTATCAACCTTCTGAGAGTTGGATCTAGACAGGGTTGCAGGAGAATGAACCTGTTTTAAAAACAAACAAAAGCTGGCCAGGTGTGGTGGCACACGTCTGTAATCCCAGCACTTGGGAGGCAGAGGCCAGCCTGGTCTACATAGTAAATTCCAGGACAGCTGGGGCTACAGGGAGACCCTGTCTCAAAAAGACCAAAAAGCTGCAAGTGGTGATGCATGTCTTTAATCCCAGCACAGCAGGTGTATCTGAGTTTCGGGCTAGCCTGATCTACATAGTGACTTCCAGGCTAACCAGGGCTACATACAGAGACCCTGTCTCAACAAACAAATAACAAAATGACTAGCATATAGCATCCATTATATAGGTAGGTGTTCAGAATTATTAATACTGAAATATCAAGACTTATGAGAGCGATGCCGAGATACTTTCAGTGCTTCATAGTGCTCTAGCCACTTCTGACTTCAGCTGCAGCTGCAGGAAACATTCTATGGACATTTATAGCAACTTTCCTAAAAAACCCTGAATGCCCAGAGCTTCTCTTCTGGAAAATTCACTTGGCCCTTGAACAGGGCAGCCCAGAAGTATAAAAGCATTAATAGGCTTTTTAAAAAGTAATTTAGGGGCTGGAGAGATGGCTCAACAGTTACTGACTGCTCTTGCAGAGGACCCGGGTTCAATTCCCACATGGCAGCTACGACCGTCCTTAACTCCAGTTCCAGGGGAATCCAAAGCCCTCTTCTGAACTCTGCGGCATTGCACGACATGAATGCACTCACACACATGCAGGCAATACAATTATACACATAAAATAAAAATAATAAATATTTTTTAAAGGATTTTTAAACTGGACGTGGTGGCACACACCTTTAATCCCAACACTTGGAAGGCAGAGGCAGGTGGATCTCTGTGAGTTCAAGGCCAGCCTGGTCTACATAGTGAGTTCAGGCCAGCTGGTGCTCCAGGGGACCCTGTCTCAAAAAAGAAAAAAAAAAAAAAGGAATTTAAATAGATAGGGTCTCTTATAGATTGGGCTGATCTTGAACTCTTCACACAGCTGAGGTTAGCCTTAGAACTGCTTCTCCTGCCTCCAGCTCCCAAGTGCTGGAATTATAGGCTTGCACCAACATGCCCAGCTTGGTGGGCACTCATTTTTATTCAATGAACTGTCAGTCTCCCTGCCCATATTGTTACAAATACCAACACAGTTCAGGAATAAAAAACAGAAACCTTAAGTACTGCTTGATCTGTGTCTCATCCCGCACACCCTGAACAATCAACACTTAAACACTTAAGGCGGATGGAATTCCAGGCCACAAGCTTTAACCTTCTGATCCCTCCAGCTTTTTAACCTGCAGACAAGCACACGGAGAAGAGCAACACCTGAGCACCAGACTTGAGTGGAAAAGAAAACAGAAACCTCAGGATCGTAAGTCACAACCCTAAACCCAGAGAAGGGAAAAGAGACTGAGTAGGAAGTGAAGAGCCTAGAGATCTGACAACCCCCGCCCCCGCCCCCGGCTGTAGCTGGAGTTAAAATAGCGTGTATGAGAGACTGAAATGAGGCTGGGCGTGGTAATGCTCGCCTTTGATCCCAGCACTCCAGAGGCAGAGGCAGGCGGATCTCTCTCTGTGGGTTCGAAGGTAGCTTGGTCTGCATAAGGAGTTCCAGATCAGCCAGGGATACGTAGTATACCTAGTAAAACCCTGACTCAAAAAACCGAGAGAGACAGACAGAGACAGAGACAGAAAACAGAGTAGAGACAAAGACAGAGAAAGGAGAGAGAGAGGGATAGACAGAGAGCGTTCTGGCCACAAGCAAGAAGACCTACAGACTAAGACTGATGCTGCGCAGGCGCAAAAACCAATCCGGACTCCAGGTTCACACTGCTCCACAAACACTAACGCCAGGAGGAGGGAGCACGGCCACCCAGCACTGAGCCCTCTGTGCCTCCTTCCCTCGAGAGGCCCTCCAGCCGGTCAGGAAGGGTCGAGAGCCCCTCTTTTGGGTCGCTTCTTGATCCCCAACCAGGGAAGAGCCAAACACAGATAACTGGGGCCAGCGAGAGGCCTCGAAGGGTCGCTCGGCCGTTCAGGGTCTCACCTCCTTGTCTGTCGCCTTCTCCTCAACACCTAGTAGCGCATACAGGTCCATCTGTAAGACCTCTTTGGTCACCGCCATGGTTCCAGCCCTAAGTGGGCTGGTACTACAACTCCCAGCAGTCTGAGCGTGCGTAGAGCCTGCCCAGCGGCGCTTAGTCCCCTGGGAATCGTCGTGTTCCGAGTTTGGCTTGACTGACTCGCCTGGAGCATGCGGTCGGGAATTAACTACGACTCCCAACATGCACCGCTCCGCTACCGCCAACGCGCGGTGGTGGGCGGGGAGAGTCAGAATTCCCCGCCCTAAGCCCCAGCTGGGCAGTTTGTGAGCTTGTGGGCCAGTGCGGAACTGGGTGAGGGTCTGAGGCGTCTGGACTTCGCGGGTGCGGCCGCCCTGCCGATACGGGGGCGCCGAGAGCCATCATGGAGAGCAGGTGCTACGGCTGTGCTGCCAAGTTCACCCTCTTCAAGAAGGAGGCGAGTGTCCCCCAGAGGCTGGAGGGCCACGGGGAGACGCGGGGCGAAGGGACGAGCGCTGGACTTGCAGTCCAAAGACTTAATTCCACGGTTTCTTTCCAGTGGTGTGGTTCTAATTATGTTATTAACCCTCCGTTAATAGTTCTATAAAGTAGGGCTAACGTCCTCACGCTTTTAGGGTTAATAAGAGGGTCTGAGCCAGGCGTGGAGGTGCACACTTTTAAATCCAGCACCCTGGAGGCACAGGCCAGATCTGTTTACTAGCGAGTTCCAGGCCAGTTGGGCTACAGGGAGACCTTGTCTCAAAAAACAAGGTCTGGTGAGATGCTGGAGATGAGCGAGTACCCTATAAATATAAAGTGAACATCATCACACCATGCCTGTTAATTCTCTCTGCTATCCGCAGCTGGCCCTTACCCAGTTAGATTACTGCCCCCGGGGCACAACGGGAGGGGTTTCCTTGCCCTCAACACACACCTACCAGGTTTTCCAGGTAAACTGCAGAGGAGATAATGGGAGCCATGTGGGATGAATTAATGCTATGTTGAAAGGCAAGACCATGGAGAATTTAGGAGGCTGGATTTGGGCATCAGGGTTTAATTTCAGCTCTGCCGTTTTACTCACCGGGGGACCTTGGTTGCACAAGTAGCGTAATTTCTCCAGCCCCTGCTAAAATAATGGTGGACATCAGGATTAAATAAGGTAATGTGTATAATTGTGAGGATTAAGTCAGATGATGGATTTTAAGGTCTGGCACACAGTAAGTTCGTAATAATTGAGGCTATTGTTACCATCCTATTCTGAGCCAAGCCACCCATCCCATCTGGCAGAGCAGAGAAAGCATGGGATCTGTGCTCTCTGATTCTCTTTTGTTGAATAGCCAGTGGCCTGAAGCACATTGTTTTGCTTGTCTGTGTTTCACAGCCCCTTGGTAAGGAATTTAAAATAGTAGAAAGCATGCACATTTTGCATGAAATTTTATTTGAACAAGAGACTGGAAACCAAAGAACTGCTTTACTCTCTGACCCTGTCTCTCCCTAGTCCCTAGGGAGCCCCACTCCTCTTCTTCCTCCTGCCTAATGATCAGTGTCCTCTCTGAGTGCTTGGAGAGTCCCAGGGAGGAGCCTACAGGGCAGGTGAGAGATGGATCTTCCTGCTTCATGTTTCTTGTAGTACGGCTGTAAGAATTGTGGCCGGGCCTTCTGTAACAGCTGTCTTAGCTTCAGTGCTCTGGTACCTCGGGCTGGCAACACTCAACAGAAAGTTTGTAAGCAGTGCCACACGGTCCTGACCAGGTAAGAGGTGAGCATGGGCAAGGGTTGAGCCAAATATGGCAGTAGGCATCTGGCCAGCCCTTGCAGCCTTGGGCTCTATGGCCAGAGGTCTGCCTAGGAAGTGTTTGGGGTGGAAGTCACTAACTGGTAGGATGGCAGGACTTCTGACACCAAATTTTCTCTCTGTAGAGGGTCTTCTGACCATGCCTCTAAATGGTCACCACCTCAAAACTGTAAGAAGTGAGTACTGAAGAGAAGACAAATGGGGATGGGCAAGAACAACACTAGCAGAACTCCCCTCCCAGTCCCCAGATCACATGAGTGCAGGGTCAAGAGAATGCCTTTCTCCAGGCTCCTGGCTACCCTCCTAGACTCTGAGAGCAGCTCATTAGTCTGTTCTCAGAAAAGGCACTTACAGGCTCTTATCCTGTCAGGCATACCCTGTGACTTGTCAGCCAGGTGGGGCTTTAGGACCACAATAAACTTTGCCCCTAGAGGTCCAGAATGATTTAAATGGATGCCTTCAGACTTCCTTTTTGCCTTAAGAGTCTTTACCTCATATCCTGCTAGGCTTGTGGCAGCCTTGGAAGCCAAGCAAAAGCCCAGCACCTCCCAGAGCCGGGGACTGACCCAACAAGACCAAGTCATTGCTGAGCGCTTAGCACGACTCCGCCAGGAGAACAAGCCTAGTGAGTAAGGGTGGGCAGGAGATCTAAAAGGCACAATCCAGGGCTTCTAGGACCAAGCTCCTCTGGCCCTTACAAGCCCTCTTCATACCAATTACAGAATCAGTGCCCTCACAAGCAGAAATAGAGGCACGACTGGCTGCACTAAAGAATGAACTCCAGGGCTCCATCCCGTCCACACAGGAGATGGAGAATCGGCTTGCAGCACTGCAGGGAAGAGTCCCACCTTCTCACATGAAACCAGTGAGTGTTATGGCTTGTGAAGGAAGGGTTTCCCAGGGTAAGGACCCAACAGAAGCCCAGATACATATACGATCATGTGCTTTGCAGGAGTCAGTAAAGTCTCCCACTCCTACCTCCTGAGCCTTAGGCCTGCTGCCAAGCTAAAGAATAAGTGCCAAGTCACAGGACTGAGTGGGTCAGAAAAGTGTGGATACTCAGTCCTTGGGAGCTGCCAGACCTACTCACATATGTGGACCTTGAATTCATCCTTTTCTCTGGGCTTCGAAAACTCTTCAGCATCCATCTCTCTGGATGGATGGTGTGGCCTTCCATATACCCTTAACCTCCACTGAGATTCTCTCTTCTGCACAGGCATACCAGGCACCAGACACCAGGACCCAAGCTCAGCAGACACAGGATCTGCTAACACAGCTGGCAGCTGAGGTGGCTATTGATGAAAGCTGGGAACAAAGAGGCCCAGGTAACTTCTTCACTTGGCTCCCAGAGTCATGCTTTGCCTCTTCTGCCAGATGGAAGAGGTTCCACTGCCCACCTTTTGGGGGGATGAATATAAGTCAGAGAGTGATCAGTACTAAAGAGCTGCTGTTTATTAAGTGCTTACTCCAGAGGGAGCCAGTGTAGGCCTCATGCTTAAGTGCATGAGGCTCTAGAATCAGATAGTGAATTCTAGTTCTAGCATATATTAGTTTATAATCCTGGGTGAGTTACTTTACCTATCTAAATCTCTCTTTTCTCATGTGTAAAATTGAGGCATATATTGATAAAAACCACCCTCATGGGAGAAGTCATGAGAAATAAATGAAATAATCCAGTAAGTGCTCAGGCCTGTGCCTGGCTCATAGTAAATGCTTAGTGAATATTGTCTGCAATGATGACAATAAGAGGGAAGAAGTGCTTCGAAATGAAAACAAAGTTCAGCTGCTTCCTAGTGCCAGCCACATTTCAGGTGTTCAATACCCACATGAGCTCATCTTGGACAGCAACCATCTTGGATAGCACAAATCCAAGTATATGAAGGCTTCAGAGTAGTAGCTCCAACCAGGGATGACTGGAACTTCCAAGCCACTTTCTGTTTAAAGACATTTTAGTTGTCACAATCCAGAGGTACTTCTGGCATCTGGTGGGTGGAAGTCAGCTGAATATCCTACAGTGCATTTGTTAGTTATACACAGCAACACCCCAAAAGTAATTACTCTCTCACATGTGTCAGTAGAATTAGGCTAAGCATGAGAAACTGCTTTATAGACAGTCTTATTGGATGACCTCCCTAATCTGAGGTATGTACTATTATTATCCTTTTTCAAATGTGAAAAATCAGACCTGGTGCTTAAGGAACTTAAGGTCACACAACTCTTAACTGGTAGGGATGGGCCTTGAACCTAAAGCTGTTGGTTCTGGTTTTTCTGTTTGGTTTTATGAGACAGGGTCTCATATATCCTAGGCTGACCTCACACTTGCTCTATAGCTAAAGATGACTTTGAACTCCTAATCCTCCTGCTTCTTACCTCCCAAATGCTGTGATCACAGGACCATATCATCATGCCCAGCTTGGTTGTTAAGTCTTGCTCTGAAACTCTAGACTGAAGGTCTAGAAGTAGCCACATCTACTCTGATAAAATTTCTTCTTGCATGCCAGCTGGAGATGCAGGGAGACCCTGTCTCAAAATAATAATATAGGCCGGGCATGGTGGCACACACCTTTAATCCTAGCACTCGGGAGGCAGAGGCAGGCGGATCTCTGAGTTCAAGGCCAGCCTGGTCTACATAGTGAGTTCCAGGACAATTGGGGCTACAGGGAGACCCTGTCTCAAAAAGACCAAAAAAAAATTGTATATATATATACACATACATACATGACCTCTCAGTATTGCTCCCAGGAAATGCTCATTCCAATCCTGAAAGGCACAGACTGGCTAAGCATTGGCTTCCTCAATCCTGATCCATTAGAGCAGTGATTCTCAAACCATAGGCTATCCACGCTATGGTAATTTGGTAGTTGGAGAGGGATGCAGTTGAAAAGACACGTCTAAAATTTTGAGTTTTGCCAGGCATTGAGGTACACACCTGTAATCCCAGCACTTGGGAGGCAGAGGCAGGCGGATCTCTGTGAGTTCAACGCCAGCCTGGTCTACATAGTAAGTTCCAGGCTACAGGGAGACCCTGTCTCAAAAAGACCGAAAAACAAGCAAACAACAACAAAAAATAACAACCAACCAAAAAACCCTAATTTTTAATATTTGGAAAAAGAGAAGAAATAGTAATTTTATTTGTAATATGAACCTAGTGCTGAGCAAAAAAACTGATAATGCGTGGTTAAAAAATAGTTGAGAAATGGGCTCAGTGGCTTCTGGGGTGAGATCTTGGAATGCTTCTGCCTTCCTAACTTCAGTACCCCTTCCAGATGCCTCCCTCCAGAATGACCTCAACCAGGGTCGTGCAAGGACCCAGCACACTAATTCCCAGGGGCAGGCCAGCCAGTCCCTGCAGGAGGAGAAGAGCAGGTTACTGGCTGAGGCAGCAGTTGAACTACGGGAGGAGAACACCAGGCAGGAGCGGATCCTGGACCTCGCCAAGCGATTGGCTGTACTGCAGGGACAGGACCCCAACAAAGGTAAAGGTTGCAGCCAGCCTGCTTACTCAGGCCCATTGGCCAAGGTGTACCCCCACTCCAGGCCATGTTTTCCCTGTTAAGGCTAGAGCAGGTATTCCCTTTGCCCAAAGATCTGTCACGTCCTGCCCAGAGGCCTGAGGCAAGATGGGGGCAGAGCAGTTGGGTGAGGACTCAGAGGCAGCCATCATGGGGTGTGGGTCCTTCAGTCCCCTCAGATGCCAGTGCATCTCATTCTGTCCTCCACTCTTCAGGGCTGCTTCAGTGATGCCCTAGCCTTGGAGGGCTAGGGTAGAGAGGGATAGTGAGTATCTGATTCTCAGCTCAGAAACATGCACCCCTGGGGAACAAGCAGTTCTAGGAGACAAAAGGATAGCCATTTAGTGAAATCTCTCACCTCACTCTTTCCTCTGTGCCCCATTCAAGTGATCCTCCAGGCTTATCACCTCCCAGACAGTGATAAGGATGAGGATGAAGAGAAAGCCATCCAGAGAGTCATGCAGCAGGTAACTTGTTTACCCACCAACCACCCCTGTCTCACCTCTACCTCACTGCTGCACCAGCGGCCTGGCCCCATTCATTTGCTTTCATTCCGGGTAGAAGGAGCCATTCTATAGCTCCCATTCTGGTTGGGCCCCACTCTTCCTGTCTCACACACACACACACACACACACACACACCCCACCCCCACCCCCACCCCCGAGATGAGGAATATGCAGTCATAGGCAGGAGGTAAAGAAGAGTAAGGCCACAGAACACAAAAACACTAGGAGGGGAGCCTGGGTCTAGAGCAGGAAGTAACTTTTTCACCCTGTTCACAGCTCACTAAAGAAGCTGCCCTGGATGAGGCAAGTGGCTTTAACATCCCTGTGGTTCCAGCTCCCCGACCCCAGGTCCAACCCTGCAGGACAGAGACTAAGGTGAGAAGAGCCCCAAACACACATCCCCAGACTGCCCACAGCTGGCCTTCCTGCCTGGCTGACTGCCCATCGGTACCTTACTTCCCCTATTCCTGTCTTCCTGAAGGCCCAGTCTCTGACTCCCACGCCTGAGCCTGAGGAAGAAGAACTCCCCTGGTGCTGTATCTGCAATGAAGATGCCACCCTACGCTGTGTTGGCTGCGATGGAGACCTCTACTGTGGCCGGTGTTTCCGGTGGGTTCAGATAGTATGTTCTGTATGTAGAATGATCTTGGTTTGAGGGCTCCCAAGGTCTCTGACATCTGTCCCTTTGCTCCCCAGGGAGGGCCATGATAACTTTGATCTTAAAGAACACCAGACAACTGCCTACCGCCCCCGACAAGCTGACCAAGAACACTGAGGAAACCTTGAACCTTCTGAGGTGGCAGTACTACAGGCAGCCTGCAGGCCAAGGCAGCCACTCAGACCCAGTTTCAGGCGATCCAGTGGAATAGCAGATCCAGCTCTGATGGTATACACACTCCTCCTTGAGCCTCAGTGTCCTGGAAGGAGGAAAGATTCCACTGACGATGATGACTCTTATAGAGGAGCCAAAGAGAAAGAGGAGTAAGGGCCCTTCTCTGAGAGTCCCAGACTAAAACTGAGAGGCATGATGAGAAAGACCAAGCTGAACTGGAGCTGTGGAGCTTGGCCCCAGGTCCCAGGGCCCTGAGTTGGAATGCAATGGAGCTAATAAAATATGTTGTTGAGTCATTGTGCCCACACTGATTTTATTTTCTGTACTGGGGTTTAAACCCAGGACCTTATGCATGTTAGACAAGGACTCTGCCACTGAACTACATCTCCCTAGCCCCAGAACCTTTTCATTTGTGAGTCTGTTTGACAGTACTGGGGATTGAACCCAGGTCTTCATACATACTAAGCAACTAATTTATACATGCAGATCCCCTGACACTATGTATGTCTAAGACCCTGAACCTGGGCCCTGTAAAAGGTGGTAAGAACAGAGTAGGCAAGAAGCAGAGTCTACTGGAATTAATGAAAAGGTTGAGCTATCCTGTAAGCTTCTAGTGGGAACAGTTCCATCCATCCTGGTGATCTCAAACCAAGTAAGTATGAATATCCATCTCACTGAACTGTGCTTTCTGCTCTGGGCAGCTAATAGTACTTAGAGAATGTAGGAACAGTGTATACTTGGCCTGCTTCCTGCCTTCCTCACAAAGGACCCACCTCCCAGGTTCCTGTCCCAACCTGTCTGCCATGGAGGCCACATTATCTGTCTTCCAGCAACTAGATCAACCCCTGGCTCTCCCTTTCCACTCCTGCATAATCTCTGCCTTTTCTCTTCCTGCCCTGGACAGGAGCCAATCCAGGAAGAGATCGCCACATGAAGATTCCAGCATCACTGAGTGGAGGAGGGATTAACCTCTTCTGATGCTCCAGAGTCCAGTGAGGTATTTCTTGTTGCCTGCTTTCTAATTTAAGACTTACCTTTACCACTTGGGGCCCCTCTTGGTGATGCCAGGATGCTGTGTACTTTAGCCAGATGGCCTCTGGGCCTTACTATTATTACTATGATTTCTTCAAAGCCAAGCTGTGACCTTTGTCTTTGAATTCCCAAGACCTGTTGGATGGGTGGGTGGATGGGTGGATGGAATGGATATAATCAAGTGACTTAGAATGTTGATCTTCTAGGATATCACTTCCCCTTCTCCCTCCCTGCCCCTCACACAGATATGCACCACACTCCATTTATCTGGGACTCCTAAGGTTTTATCCTGGTTGTCAAGGAAAGCACTGGACAACAACCACAACTGGCTGGCTCCCAGAGAGCTCATCCGAGAGAAGCTAGCTGTGACTGCACACACACTCGGGCTGTATAAATGTCCCTCCTTGTCTTCTGCTTTCCTTGTTTGTATTCCAAAATGTTTCTCTTTCAGCCAGTATCCAGAGGGCCAGGACAGGCCCAGCAGTGCTAAGGCTGCTGAAGACAGTCTCTCTGGGCTTATTTTGGAGGTCTGCTGAGTCTCCGAAGTTTCTTGAGTTGGCTGAGCAGCTCAGAGATAAAAGGCTGAGGGAGAAAGAGCAATGAGATCAAGGCATGGAGTCACACCCACCATGCTGCCCTCCCTAACCTGCCTCTGACCTTATCCCCCAAAGCCAGAGAAGGAAAGGATGGAGGGCCAAGCTTTCCTTTAAAATACTCCCCTTCGCCGGGTGTGGTGGCGCACGCCTTTAATCCCATCACTCGGGAGGCAGAGGCAGGCAGATCTCTGTGAGTGTGAGGACAGCTGGGGCTACAGGGTGACCCTGTCTCAAAAAGACAAAAAAAAAAAAAAAATCCCTTCATTATAGCCTCCCCACAAAGGGCCACCTCTTACCCTCCAAGCAGCAGATATTCCTTACCTCTGTGGGGCGGGGGCAGCTTTGGAGAATAGCCTGGGTAGAAGAGAGCAACTGAGCCTTAGCCCTGCCTCACAAGCTCCCAGTCAGTATCCCAAGAACTTCCCTCTAAAATGGCTCTTTGCATACCACCCACACAGAGGCATATTCCCACCACCACCACCAGGTTCCTGGGGTTCCATTGTTGCAAGCCCAGCTTCCCAGCCTCCCAACCTACCTCCAACTGAGTTTTCTGCTCCTCGGTGGATAGTTCCATGAGAGCTTCCAGATCAATCTCGGGCTCAGGAGGGACTTGTTCATCCTGTTTGGGAATAACATGTGGTCATAGGGGTCTGACCAGCTGGTGGTAGAGTGAAGGTTACATCAGGGACTCACCTATCTCTACTTCATCTGCTGCTCTGTGTTGATCCCTCTCTTCATCTCATTCAGAATACCCACTCACTTTTCTATTTAATAAACATTTACTGAATACCTACTGTGTTCTACATGAAAATTCTTCAAAAATAGTATCTTGACAGGTGTATTGGCACATGCCTGTAATCCCAGTACTGAGCAGGGTGAGGCAGGAAGATCATGCATTCCAGGCCAATCTGGGCCTCATAGTGAGACTTTATCTAAAAAACAATCTTACATTTCATGTTGGGAGTGCGGGGGAGAAATTGGAGAAACAGATTTGGAAAACAGCTTGGCAGTTGCTTAAGATGTTGAAAATCAGTTCCACCTGTAATCCCAGAACTGGGGAGGTAGAGGCATGAGAATCAGGAATTCAAGGTCATCCTTGGCAACATAATGAGTTTGGCTACATGAGACCCTGTATCAAAAAAACTTTTAAGTGAAAAATAGAATTTGGCTGGGCGTGGTGGCACATGCCTTTAATCCCAGCACTTGGGAGGCAGAGGTAGACAAATCTCTGAGCTCAAGTCCAGCCTGGTCTACCTAGCGAGTTCAAGGACAACTGGAGCTACAGGGAGACCCTGTCTCAAAAAAAAAAAAAAAGAATTTGACATGGCAATTTAACACCTAGATCTCCTCCCAAGAGAGACAAAAATAAAAGTACATACAAAAACTTGCACATGATGTGGCACATGCCTTAAGTCCTAGCACTTGCAAGTCAGAGGCAGGTAAATCTGAAACTTTGAAACCAGCCTGGTCTATATAGCAAGTTCCAGGCCAGTCAGGACTTCATAGACTCATTCTCGATTGATTAAATGAGTAAATTGTATGATATGTAAATCATAAAACTTTTTAAAAGTTGCAATCAAGCTGGGTGTGGTGGTGCACACCTTTAATCCCAGGATTTGGGAGGCAGAGGCTGATCTCTGAGTTGGAGGCCAGCCTGGTCTACCTAGCAAGTTCCAGGACAGTTAGGACTGCCAGGAGACCCTGTCTCAAAAAGACCAAAAAACTTTTTTAAAAGGGAAGACTGGTGCTGGGTGTGGTGGTGCACACCTTTAATCCCAGCACTTGGGAGGCAGAGGCAGGCGGATCTCTGTGAGCGTGAGGCCAGCCTGGTCTACATAGTGAGTTCCAGGACAGCTGGAGGCTACAGGGAGACCCTGTTTCAAGACCAAAAAAAAAAAAAAAAAAAAAAGACTGGCAAGATGGCTCAGTGTGGATAAATGCACTTGTGCACTTGCCACCAGACCTGATGACTTAATTCCCATGACCCACATAGTAGAAGGAGAGAACTCCTGAAAGTTGTCCTCTGACCTCCATACACACAACCATGAGATGTGCACAATGACACACATATACATTAATAAATGTAATTAAAGATAAAATAAATGGGCATGGTGGTTAAGTAGTGAGTGCTTGTAATCCCTGCACTGGAGAGGTGGAGACAAGTAGACCCCTTGAGCTTGCTGCTGCCAACCTAGCCAGTCAGTGGTCAGTGAAAGACTCTGTCTCAAAAGAGCAGATGGACAGTGTTTGAGGAAGGACACCCAAGGCCTACACACACATGCAAATATACATCTACACACCAGCATGTACATTCATACACAAAAGAGAGTTTGGAACCAGCCTAGGCAACAAAGACAAAATGTCTCAAGCAAACAACATGCATATAGATGTTTTATAATAGATTTACTCATAATTTCCAGAACTAAAATATCCTTTAGTAGGGAAATGGATAAACTATGGTACATCCAGAAAATGAACTGTTACTCAGTATGATAAAATTATTTTCAAGCAATAAAAAGACATGGAGAAGCCTTACATGTATATTACTAAATTAAGGAAGTCAGTTTTGGAACTAGAGATGTGACTCACTAGTAGAGCACATGACTACCATGCACAAAGCCCTAGGTTTATCCCCATCACTGAAAAAAATCAGTTTTCAAAGGCTATATTTTCTATATGACTTCAATTATATGACATTCTGGAAAAAACAAAACTATAGAGACAGAAACATGAGTACTGGAAGGAAAATGGGGGAGTGGAAGGGAGGGAAGGCAGAACACAGGATTTTTAGGACAGTGAAATTATTCTTTGTGATACTGTAACAGTGGACAGGCTTCATTACACATTTTTCTTTTTTTTTTTTTCATTTTGGTCTTTTTGTGACAGGATCTTCCTGTAACCCCAACTGGCCTGGAACTCACTATGCAGACCAGGCTGGCCTTGAACTCACAGAGATCTCCTGCCTCTGCTTCCCAAGTGCTGGGACTAAAGGTGTGTACCACCATGCTCAGCTTCATTACACACATTTTTCTAAACCTATGGAATGTATAACACAAGAAACAAGCCCTGAAGCAAATTTTGGGTAATAGTGATGTGTCAATGAAAATTCATCATTTGTAACCTGAGTACCAATTGTGCTGGATGCTGCTAATGGAGGGATGGTACATGCATGGGTCTAGGGCACATACAAAACCCCTCTGTACTTTTTCACTTTTCTGCCATGAGCCTAAAACTATTCTAAAGCATTTGAGGATTTTGGGGGTTTTTTTTGTTGTTATTTTGTTTGGTCTTTTTGAGGCAGGATCTCCCAGTAGCCCTAGCTGGCCTGGAATTTCCTGGAACTCACAGAGCTCTACCAGTCTTGTACTCATAGAGCTCCACCTGCCTCTGCCTCCTGAATGCTGGGATTAAAGGTGTGCACCACCACACCCAGTTTGAGGGGTTTGTTAAAAAATATTTTTAAATTTTATTTTATGTGTATGAGTGTTTTACCTGCATGTATTTAAGTGCACCATGTGCATGTAACACCTGTGGAGGCCAGAAGAGGGTATTGGAGCCCCTGGAATTGGAGTTACAGATAATCATTAGATACCATGTGGGTGCTGGGAACTGAACCCGGGTCTTCTGGAAGAGCAGCCAGTGCTCTTAACCATTGAGCCATCTCTTCAGCCCCTAAAGCATTTAAATTTTTGTTTGTTGAGACAAAGTGTTGCTCTGCAGCCAAAGTGGTCCTCAAACTTGTGAACAATCCTCCTACCTCAGCTTCCCAAATACTGGGATTACAAGTGTCAACTATCATACTCAGCTATCTTGCTCATTTTTATAGTGGGTTCTACAGTTTTTTTTCTTACAGATTAAGTATTAATTTAGGGATGTGAGATGACTCAGTAGGTGAAAGTTCTTACCAAGCAAAGCTGATGATGAGTTTGATTACTGGAACCTACTGTGGAAGAAAAGAACCAACTTCCAAAAGTTGTCCTCCTCCCTCTTGAGAGAGAGAGAAACAACAAAATAATTTAAAAAGAAATCTTTCTTGAGCTAGGTATAATTTGTGTATGTAATCCCAGCACTTGGGAGGTAGAACCCAGAATATCAGGAGTTCAAGGTCAGCCTTGGCTAGTTAAGGATTTTGAGGCTACCCTGGACAACTTGAGACTGTCTCAAAAAAATCAAGAAAGTAAAAAAGAAAGCATTAAAAAATAGGTCTTGCCGGGCGTGGTGGCACACACCTGTAGTCCCAGCACTTGGGAGGCAGAGGCAGGCAGATCTCTGTGAGTTCAAGGTCAGCCTGTTCTACATAGTGAGTTCCAGGACAGCTGGGGCTACAGGGAGACCCTGTCTCAAAAAGACCAAAAAAATTAAAAATTGGTCTTTATAATTGTTGCATTTAAATTAATCCTAGCATTTCATATATAATGGAAGAAATATATTTGTAGAGTAAGGTTGAGAACAGTTGGAAAATAGGAACATCTGTTTATAATGCTGAGTCTAATGGTATTTTTCTGTGTGGGTTGTCCCTTTGCTTCTTTTTGTTGTTGCTTTTATGTTGTGCTGGAGATGAACACAGGACTCCCTGAATGCTAGGCAAAGACTACCACTGAGCTTTATCCATGGCCTTCTTTTTATATTTTAATTAATTAATTGATTGATTTTTTTATCTTTTTGAGACGGGTCTCTCTGTAGCCCCAGATGACCTGAAACTCACTATGCAGACCAGGCTGGAAGGTGTGTGCCACCATGCCCAGCGGACTTTATTTTTTATTAAATATTTTATTGCTTATTTATTTATTATTATTTGTATTTTATGTGTATGAGTGTTATGCCTGCATGTAAGTAAGTGCACCTGTGTCTTGCAATGCCCGCAGAGGACAGAAAAGGCTGTCTGATCCCCTGGAACTGGAGTTACAGACAGTTATTAGCTGCCATGTGGGTGCTGGGATTTGAACCTGGGTCTTCTGCAAGAACAGTCAGTGTTCTTAACCACTAAGCAATCTCTCCAGCTCCTGATTTTATTTTATTTTTTAAATTTTATTATTTTTATTTTATGTGTATGTGTGTATTGCCTGCATGTAGGTAAGTGCACCCGTGCAGTGCAGTGCCCACGGAGGTCAGAAGAGGCTGTCGGATCCCCTAGAATTTAGTTATGGACAGTTGTTAGCTGCCATGTGGGTGCTGGGATTCAAACCCAGGTCTTCTGCAAGAACAACCAGTGTTCTTAACCACTGAGCCATCTCTCCAGCCCCTGATTTTATTTTTAAAATAGGTCTCGTGCTGACTTCTAACTCCCTGTGCCAAGGATGACCTTGCATTTCTAATCCTCCTGCTTCTACTCCTGGAGTGCTGGGATTATAGGCAGGCACCACCATGCCTAGTTTCTGTGATGCCTAGAGATAGAACATAAAGCTGCATGCACGTGCGGTAGGCTAGTGCTCTACCAACTGAGTTAAATTTAACCTAATCCTTTCTTTTACTCTTTTTGAGGCAGAGTCTCATGTAGCCCAGATTGGCTTTGAACTTGCTACATGAATTCCTGATCTTCCTGTCTCTGCCTCCCAAATCCTAGATTATGGGAGTATGCCAACATACCCAGTTGTTTTGGATTTTTGTTAAAAAGGAAGATTCTGTTCTATGTAGCCCAGGGTGGCTACTAACTGCTTCAGCCTCCTGAGTGCTGGGATTGTAAGTGTATACTATCACACCCAGCTGGATACTTAATAATCAACTTTTCCTTTAATGATTTTTTTTTTTGTCTCTTTGAGACAGGGTCTCCCTGTAGCCCTAGCTGGCCTCGAACTCACAAAGATCTGCCTGCCTCTGCTTCCCAAGTGCTGGGATTAAAGGTGAGTGCTACCATGCCCAGCTTTAATGAAATTTTTTGTTTTGTTTTATTCTTTTGTTTTTTTGAGACAGGGTCTGTTCTTAGCTGGCCTGGAACTCTAAACATAGACCAGGATGGTCTGGAACTCACAGAGCTCCACCTGCCTCTGCCTCCTGAGGCTTTTGTTTTTTTTTTTTACTACTGTATACATGTGTACACATGAAAAATATGGTGAGTTGGGGAGCTTTGTGTGCCATGGCACAAGTGTGGAGGTCTAAGGACAACTTTGAAACTGGTCCTTTCCTTCCATAGTGATTTCGGAGAATCAAACTCAGGCATCTAAGCTGGACCAACAAACACCTTTAACCTACTGAATCACTGCACCAGCTCCCATCTTTACTTTCTCTTTCTTTCTTTCCTTTTTTTGTGGTTTAAAAATTTCACCTTTTCATTTAATCCCAGCACTTGGGAGGCAGAGGCAGGCGGATCGTTGTGAGTTCAAGGCCAGCCTGGTCTACATAGTGAGTTCAGGTCAGCTGGGACTACAGGGAGACCCTGTCTCAAAAA